GGTAACACAGTCAGAGAGAGAGTATTTGGCCCAAGGACTGTTGGAGATCAGGCGTTGAAGTTTGTTGTGTAGTGTGGAGGAGTGGTGGGAAGAGGAGACGTGAGCAGTGTCAAATGCAATTGGAAAAATGATATTGCATAGATCACTGGGAAGAGAAGAGGACAGAAAGCGTTGCTGTTGACGAACAGCAAGAAAAGCCTCGTCAACTTGCAAGGAGGTGGCATGAATAAGTTCTTGAAGAAGAAGGCGGGCATGTTCAGGGAAAGGAGATCCCGAAGTGTTGAACTGGAGAAAGTGAGATAAAGAATGAGGGAGAACTTGTTCAGCAAGACAGTCTTTAAGAAACCTGAGCTGGTTCTTTCGACGCTTGGCGGCAAGAAGGGAAGATTCAAAGGCGCGAAAAGGCCGTTTGAAGGAAGGTAGAGCATCAAAGAAATTAAACAGAGTAAGACGCGTACGTGTGGTATCCATATGCAGGCGATGAGTCACAATAACGTGGCTGAAGTATGTTGACCAGACCACACACTAGAAATTGAAGGGACGACGACGTTTCGGTCCGTCCTGGACCATTCTCAAGTCGATTGTGATGAGGAGCTAGGGACAGGCAATAAATAGGCAAGAGAGAGCTGAGGAGGAAAGTCAGGTGTAGGGGATAGTAGTAATGAGAACTGCAGCAGGCCTATTGGCCCATACGAGGCAGCTCCTATTATAACCACCGAAGGAGATAGTAATAGGAAAAAAGAAGAGGATAGCAAGGGAGCGTAGGAGAAGACAATGAACAGAAAAAGGGGGAAGAGAGAAAGAAAAGGAAAGAGAAAGAAAGAAATGGAAGGGGGAAAGCTTATGTTAAGTCACGTTTGTTAGAAAGATTAGAGCATTTGAGTATATACTGTGAAAGGGAAGAGTCCACAGCAACAAAGCCAGGACTCAAGTTCATGTTGGGTACATTGTTTATAAGAGCCGATTCTACAAGACGGCGTCTGTGTAGAGTAGAGGCAGGAAAGATTATTTTTTTCGACGACGAAACGTCGTCGTCCCTTCAATTTCTAGTGTGTGGTCTGGTCAACATATTACCGTATATGTGTGTGACTAGTTTGGAGGTGGAAATTACGGAATTATCATTATTGCAGCATGGTGCAACACCCCTGAGGAAGCGTGTGACCGCCATACCCTCAGGTGTGCCAAGTAACACTATCTCAAACTGTTTCCAGCCTGGCGTAGAGTGAACTGCATCTACGTCCCCTGTCACAGCTGAGACATAATCAGTTTTCATTGTAGATAGTACCTTATTATTCAGAGTCCATATCCATATATCTATATATCTGATACTGCCATTTATTCATTATTAATCTTCACATTGCAGTAGTATTTTGCATTACATATTTTACTCATTACCTATGTGTGTGCATATTATAATTATTATCATTATTGCATAATATATGTTCCAGAGAACAACATAGAGCGGATAGAGGTGTCTAGAGGTGAAGTGGAAAATATGCAAAAGGAGCTCAGTAAGAACAAAGCAGCTGGCCCAGATGGCGTGTGGAAACAGGCTAACATAGTTCCAATCTACAAAAGTGGCAGCAGGGAAGACCCCCTCAATTATAGACCTGTATCATTGACAAGTGTATTAGTGAAAGTATTGGAAAAAATAATCAAAACTAAATGGGTAGAACACCTGGAGAGAAATGATATAATATCAGAGAGACAATATGGTTTTCGATCTGGAAGATCCTGTGTATCGAATTTACTCAGTTTCCTTTGATCGAGCCACAGAGATATTACAGGAAAGAGATGGTTGGGTTGACTGCATCTATCTGGACCTAAAAAAGGCTTTCGACAGAGTTCCACATAAGAGGTTGTTCTGGAAACTGGAAAATATTGGAGGGGTGACAGGTAAGCTTCTAACATGGATGAAAAATTTTCTGACTGATAGAAAAATGAGGGCAGTAATCAGAGGCAATGTATCGGAATGGAGAAATGTCACAAGTGGAGTACCACAGGGTTCAGTTCTTGCACCAGTGATGTTTATTGTCTACATAAATGATCTTCCAGTTGGTATACAGAATTATATGAACATGTTTGCTGATGATGCTAAGATAATAGGAAGGATAAGAAATTTAGATGATTGTCATGCCCTTCAAGAAGACCTGGACAAAATAAGTATATGGAGCACCACTTGGCAAATGGAATTTAATGTTAATAAATGTCATGTTATGGAATGTGGAATAGGAGAACATAGACCCCACACAACCTATATATTATGTGAGAAATCTTTAAAGAATTCTGATAAAGAAAGAGATCAAGGGGTGGTTCTAGATAGAAAACTATCACCTGAGGACCACATAAAGAATATTGTGCAAGGAGCCTATGCGATGCTTTCTAACTTCAGAATTGCTTTTAAATACATGGATGGGGATATACTAAAGAAATTGTTCACAACTTTTGTTAGGCCAAAGCTAGAATATGCAGCTGTTGTGTGGTGCCCATATCTTAAGAAGCACATCAACAAACTGGAAAAGGTGCAAAGACATGCTACGAAGTGGCTCCCAGAACTGAAGGGCAAGAGCTACGAGGAGAGGTTAGAAGCATTAAATATGCCAAAACTAGAAGACAGAAGAAAAAGAGGTGATATGATCACTACGTACAAAATAGTTACAGGAATTGATAAAATCGATGGGGAAGATTTCCGGAGACCTGGAACTTTAAGAACAAGAGGTCATAGATTTAAACTAGCTAAACACAGATGCCGAAGAAATATAAGAAAATTCACCTTCGCAAATAGAGTGGTAGACGGTTGGAACAAGTTAAGTGAGAAGGTGGTGGAGGCCAAGACCGTCAGTAGTTTCAAAGCGTTATATGACAAAGAGTGCTGGGAAGACGGGACACCACGAGCGTAACTCATCCTGTAACTACACTTAGGTAATTACATAGATTAATCTTATAGAATACCCCCCAAAATGTGTCATGGGAGGCTGGCTCTAGAATTATATAATTTACAGTCATTGCTTAATTAATAGAATTTATTTATATAATCATAGATCTATAAGACACTGATTTTCTCATTTAATTACTCATTCTGGTCCTTCGAGCTATCTTAGAATTTATCATTATTTTACATTTAAAATTATACATTTTATTAGTATTATACTGGAGCCAGATTTCCCCACAGTGGGTGTGGGTGTCTGTAGTGGGTGTGTCTGTTGTTGCTCGGTCACTTTCTTAACTGCTTCTAATATTACTTTCTCTCTGGTAAATTGTGAATCGATTAGCTGAATATCCTTCATGCACTTTCCTATATCCTGTGTAACTTCTTCCATCTTTTCTGATGAAAGATTTTTTCTCTGTTGAATTTCCTTTCCTAACCTATTATTTCATTAACATCTGGACTTGATTTAACTTCAGCTATCTTTATTATTTTATTTTCCTCCTCCAGGACTTATCCTTTAGTTTCCCACTGATTCTCATTTGTGTATAATTCCCTTATTTAATCTTTCAGGGCTGTAACTTGGTTTCTCAAGTTTTCATTACTACTGCTCAAATTCTTAATTCTATCCACATGATTCTTTACAATGATCTCTATTTTTGCCAACCTGTTGTGAAACCTATTCCTGCTAATATTTTTATCAAAACCATCAAAATTAATCTCTTCTGTTTTGTCCTTCCTCTTGCTTTGGTCACCATGTGCTCCCACACATTTTTTCAAAAATACTATTTCTGGTTTGTTTCTTTAACTATTTTTGGCTTCTGTCTGTTTTGCAGACATTCATACACGTCCAAGCAATTTTTCATTCTGCTATGCCTTGGTTATCCCAACCAAAATATTAAAAGCACTGGAGCCCCCCTAGCCCACAACCCACCCACAATTACTAGTACACCAATCTATCTGCTGTATTTGCCATTACGCCGTGGGCCGCTATTTGGGCGCAGGGTTTTTTAGCAGTCGAACAGGGTCCTGGCATCCAGGTTTCTTGTTACTGTTCCTGGTCCTCGCCGGCCTTGTGTAGCCTTGGGTCATGTGTTGTGGCCAGTGTATTCTTCTTGTGGTGATACTTGCAGTGCTCCCTCCTCTCTGGTACATCCCTATTCTTCACCTACTCCATGAGTGTAGCTTCAGAGAGCCACAAGGGGCTCCCCCCAGAAAACCAGCATAGAATGTAATGAAATGCCAATTTCTGGCCGAGTACCGGCAGCTCCCCGACACCCTCCATCTCCAACGGAGTAGCGGGTGTTTTCTCAATCATCATAGAACTAAGGGTGGAGCAGCCAGCTGACCTGGTCTGCCTCCTTCCTCCCTGTAAACCAGTGAGGTAGGTGGAACGAACGAGCTCGCACTAGTTTCATAAAGTTTTGATAATTTCTTTACAATTTTTAGGGAGTTCTTTTGGCAATTTTGTGGCATCAGTCTTCTCACCAGCAGTGGTCTGTTTTGTTTCACTGACTTTCTGGGTGCTTCCCCTGGTAGTGGTGGACATGATTAAAACTCAGACAATTCTATCATAGTGTTACTACTCTCCGTGTCTCTTTAGAGGAGACCAGATTCTGGCTGGTGGTCCCTGGGAGGCTGAAAAGACTCCTCGACTGATGGCACCTAGTAGTTTGGCACTATATCCCCTGGAAACACAAACCGAAACTGTCTCTATTTTCCGCTTGTTACAACTTGTAATAAAGTTGTTACATCTTGGCTTAACGTGCTTATGATGTATTAGAACATTGTTACAACTTGATATATTGGTTGTTATAACTGGTTAGGAAGTGTTAAAACTTGTTCGAACGTTGTACCAACGTCGTAGTTTCGGTGTGTGTTTGGCGGGTCAGCATTGTAGCTTCAAGGAGATACCGGGGATCCCCCAGAAATTGTAGTTTCATTACATTCGATGCTGGTTTTTTATTTTACTGTAAATTTGTTTAAATTTAGATTAAGATACTCAACCAGTTTTCATTCAGTTTGTTGCTAGCTTTACATTATTAAAATTAAATTATAAAATTAACAAACTTACCTAGCAGCTTGTAACATTTCTTCTGGGACATGGAGGGAATTAGTAAAGCTCCGCTTTGTTTTGCCAGCTGTTTTAGCCAGTTCTTGAATAGCTTTAATTACAAGCTGGCATTCTTTCACACCCATTTTGATGGCCTTCATAAGGTCTTGTTGAAGAACATTACTTCCCCCACCTTCCAGCATTACTAATTAAAATAAAGATTATTAGAAAATAATTACAAAGATCAAAATAAGATTGAATCATGAATGTTATACATACCTTGAGGTGATTTGACGTAATACATAATAATCTACAACAAAATACATAATACAATACATAATCTGACCTAAGCCATAATACATTTCCCAAATACACCACAATGTGTCCCCCCCTTCATATACCTACTGCCCAGAAAGGATAAGCATGCAATATAAATGCCAGTGTAATTAGACATGCTCTAATGATCATAAAAATCCATCTCTTTGGTATCCAACCCACTTTACCTCTTCATTTCTTCCTAACTTAAAATAATACAGTATTTAAATGTTATATACTGTATATCCAAAGCTTCGATGTTATACTGAATTTATGTTAATCTGAAGCTGACTAATGCAAGCCAAACAATGATGATGATGTGTGGTTTGGTGGGAGGGGTGGTGGTGGTAGTGCTTACCTTTCAGTAATTACCTAAGTGTAATTACCAGAGTGTAGTTAAAGAATGAGAGCTATGCTCGTGGTGTCCCCATCTTCCCAGCACTCTTTGTCAGATAATGCTTTGAAACTACTGAAAGTTTTGGCCTCCACTACCTCACCTAACTTGTTCAGTCTATCTTCTTGAGGTTATCTTGAGATGATTTCGGAGCTTAGCGTCCCTGCGGCCGGGTCCTCGACCAGGCCTCCTTTTTGTAACACACCCCCAGGAAGCAGCCCGAAGCAGCTGTCTAACTCCCAGGTAGCTGTTTACTGCTAGGTAACAGGGGCATCAGGGTGAAAAAAAACATTTTGCCCATTTGTCTCCGCTTCCACCGGAGATCGAATCTGGAACCTCAGGACTACGAATCTGAAGCGCTGTCCACTCAGCTGTCAGTTTACTACTCTGTTTATAAAAGTAAATTTTCTTATATTTCTTTGGCAGCATTGTTTAATTGGTTTATATCTATGACCTCTTGTCTTTGAAGTTCCAGGTCTCAGAAATTCTTCCCTATAAATTTTAAAGATTCCTGTTACTATTTTGTACATAGTGATCATATTACCTCTTTTTCCTCTATCTTCTAGTTTTGGCATATGTAATGCCTCTAACCACTCCACATAGCTCTTGTCCTTCAGTTCCAAAAGCCATGTAGTTGCATGTCTTTGCACCTTTTCCAGTTTGTTGATGTGCTTCTTAACACTACTGCACCGTGCGCGCGAGACCCGGACTACCCAGTGTGGGCCTCAGCGTTTCAGATGAGTGGGCGGTAATTCTGAAAAGTGTATACTCTTTTCAATTTTGTCACCTCAATTCTCATCCAAGGTTTTTCAATTTGGTATCATTGTGTTTGCAATAGAATTCTCTACAGGACTAAAGGCATATAAAGTCCAAAAGCCTGGCATACCATCCACAACAAACAGAGAAAGTGAGTGCGTGTTACCCGGGTGCGCACAAGAGCAATAAAATGTGTACACTCTTTTCACTTTTGTCACCTCAATTCCCGCCCTAGGTCTTTCCTTTTTGTATGAATGTATTCGCAATGAAATTTCCTACAGGAGTATATGCATACAATATCCAAAATCACGGCGCGCCCCTCCCGAAGTCGCCGACGCAATGCTGCCTCGTTACCGGAAATGCGTCTACTAAAAAAACGATGCAATGCTGAGTCGTTATCGAGCGAAAGTGTTAAGATATTGGCACCATACAACCGCTGCCTATTCCAACTTTGGTCTAACAAGAGTTATGAACAATTTCTTTAGTATTTCACCATCCATGTAATTAAAAGCAATTCTGAAATTGGAAAGCATAGGCTCCTCGCACAATGTTCTTTTTGTGGTCTTCAAGTGATAACTTTCTATCTAGAACCACCCCTAGATCTCTTTCTTTAATCAGAATTTTTTAAAAGTTTTTACATAATTTGTAGGTTGTGTGGTCAATGTTTTCCTATTCCACATTCCTTAACATGGCATTTATTCACATAACATGGCATTTGAGGGGCATGACAATTGTCTAAGTTTCTTATCTTCCCTAGTATCTTAGTATCATCAACAAACATGCTCATATTTAAGTGTACAGTATTCAATCTGGTAGGTCATTTATGCAGACAATGAATATTATTGGTGCAAGAACTGAACCCTGTGGGACTCCACTCGTGACATTTCTTCAGTCCGATACATTGCCTCTGATTACTGCCCTCATTTTTCTGTCAAATAGAAAATTTTTCAGTCATATTAGAAGTCTCCCTGTCACTTCTCTAGTATGTCCCAGTTTCCAGAACAACCTCTTATGTGGTACTCTGTCGATAGCCTTTTTAGGTCCAGATAAATGCAGTCAACCCAACCATCTCTTTCATGTAAAATCTCTGTGGCTCGATCATAGAAACTGAATAAATTAGTTACTTTCCAGATCGAAAACCATACTATCTGTCAGTTATTACAACATTTTTCTCCCAGGTGTTCTACCCATTTTGTTTTAATTATTTTTTTTAATATTTATACTATCACACAATGTATTTATTTATTTATTTATTTATATACAAGAAGGTACATTTGGGGTTAAGAGAATACATAACAATGATGATTTTACATTCTTGTAAAGCCTCTAGCACGCATAGTGTTTCGGGCAGAGGTTATCTTGAGGTTATCTTGAGATGATTTAGGGGCTTTTAGTGTCCCCACGGCCCGGTCCTCGACCAGGCCTCCACCCCCAGGAAGCAGCCCGTAACAGCTGACTAACTCCCAGGTACCTATTTACTGCTAGGTAACAGGGGCATTCAGGGTGAAAGAAACTTTGCCCATTTGTTTCTGCCTCGTGCGGGAATCGAACCCGCGCCACAGAATTACGAGTCCTGCGCGCTACCCACCAGGCTACGAGGCCCCCTATCCACCAGGCTACGAGGTACAGGTCTATAATTGAGGGGGTCTTCCCTGCTGCTACTTTTGTAGATTGGAACCATGAGTCTTATTTCCACATATTTGCTAGGATTCCAGTATACAGGGATGCCTGAAAAATCAGTTAAGTGGAATGCTGACCTCAGGTGCACACACTCTCAGAACCCATGGTGAAACTTCATCTGGACCAACTGCTTTCTTCTTACTGAGCTCATTGAGCATTTTTCCACTTCATCTCTAGACACCTCTATGTGTTCTATGTTGTTCTCTGGACTTTTTATTGTGTCTGGATCTCTGAAGACTTAATTTTGCACAAACCACACTTTGGAGCTGTTTGTTTAATGTTTTGCACAATTCATTTTCATTTTCTGTGAACCTTTTTCCCATTTTCAAACTCTGAATATTATCCTTTACCTGCAATTTGCTTTTTATAAATTTACAAAATAGGCCTGGTTGTGTTTTACATTTGTCCGCTATCCCTTTCAAAAAAAAAACCTTTCTGCCTCTCTCTCTTTACTGCTGTGTAGTTGTTTCGTGCTTCTTTGTATCGCTGATATGTTTGAGGGTTTGGCCTCTTACTTGAGATTATCTTGAGTTATCTTGAGATGATTTCGGGGCTTTAGTGTCCCCGCGGCCCGGTCTTCGACCAGGCCTCCACCCCCCAGGAAGCAGCCCGTGACAGCTGACTAACACCCAGGTACCTATTTTACTGCTAGGTAACAGGGGCATTCAGGGTGAAAGAAACTTTGCCCATTTGTTTCTGCCTCGTGCGGGAATCGAACCCGCGCCACAGAATTACGAGTCCTGCGTGCTATCCACCAGGCTACGAGGCCCCTGGAACAACTTCCTGCACTTGTGGGGAGTGAGGGTGAAATTGGATATATGAAAGTGAGCTTCAAGGTAATGTACTCAAACATAAATGGGATTACCAATAAAGCAAGTGAACTGACAGAAAGGGTGCAAGAAGAAAACCCTGATGTAATAGGACTCATGGATATAAAATTGTCAGGAGTCATAACAGATGCTGTGTTTCCAAAGGACTACTATAAAGTAAGAAAAGAGAGGGAAGGGAGAGGAGGTGGAGAAGTGGCCCTGCTGATAACGAAGGACTGGAGTTTTGATGAGATGGAAATTCCGAGCTGCGACAGGTTCAGAGATTACATAACAGGAACTATAACAATGGGTGGACCTAAGATAATAGTGGCAGTCATTTACAACCCTCCCCTAAATGACAGAAGACCCAAACAGAAGTTTGATAGGAACAACATGGCAACAAATAATATAATAGAGAGAGCAGCTTCAGTTACCTGCAGGAATGGCTCAAGACCCTTAATCATGGGCGATTTCAACCATGGAAAGATAGGCTTGGAGAATGGGGACCCACATGGTGGTGCAGATACATGGAGAGCTAAACTCTTGGAAGTGGCAACAAGGAACTTTCTGAGCCAGCATGTCAGGGGACCCACAAGAGTGAGAGGCAATGATGAACCAGCTAGACTTGACTTGATATTCACCCTGAATGAGTCAGAAATAAGGGAAGTCAAAGTTGAAGCCCCCATAGGAATGAGTGACCACAGTGTACTGACTTTTGAGTACTTGGTGGAGGTAGAGATAACCTATCCAAGGATGGGATCGGAGGGGAAAAGACTAAATTACCGAAGAGGAAAATATGACGAGATGAGAAACTTCCTAAAGGGAATACCATGGGAAACAGAACTTAGAGACAAGAATGTGTACGACATAATGGATTTTGTCACCAATTAGTGCCAGGAAGCTGCAGACAGGTTTATCCCGGTTCAAAAGGAAAAAAACGAAAAACAACAGAAAAACCCATGGTTCAATCAGGAATGCAAGGTAGCGAAGCAACTGAGTAAAAGAACATGGAGAAACTACAGAAATAACAGAACACCAGAGAGTAGGGAGAGTAGGGAGAGATACCAGAGGGCCAGAAATGAGTACCTCAGAATGAGGGAAGCAGAGAGACATTATAAAAATGACATAGCGAGTAAAGTCAAGACCCAACCAAAGCTTCTCCACAGCCACATCAGGAGGAAAACAGCAGTAAAGGAACAAGTGATGAAATTGAAAAAAGGGGAGAACAGATACACAGAGAATGATAAGGAG